ATAAAAATATATATTTATTATATTTTTATTTTGTATTACAAAATAAAAAAATTCCTTATTTTTTTACTGCATCATGACAGGCATCATTGGAGCACATAATCATATTTTATGCTGAAACAGGTTCTCATGATTAGATATATACTTATTATATTATATATAATATATGGTGGTAGTTGTTGACGTCCAAGGTGGTTTCACACGTATTAAAAGGAAAAAGAAAGTATACTTCACCGCTGTTGATTAGTCTTTGTCTTTTTATTTTTTTACCGCATCATGGCCGGCATCATTGCAGCACATAATCATATTTTAAACTGAAACAGGTTCTGATGATTAGATTTCTACTTATTATATTATATATAATACATGGTGGTGGTTGTTGCAGTCCATGGTGGTTTCACACTTATTAAAAAGAAAATGAAAGTATACTTCACCGCTGTTGGTTAGTCTTTGTCTTTTTATTTTTTTACTGCATCATGGCCGGCATCATTGCAGCACATAATCATATTTTGAACTGAAACACGTTCTGATTATTAGATTTCCACTTATTATATTATATATAATATATGGTGGTGGTTGTTGCAATCCAAGGTGGTTTCACACGTATTAAAAAGAAAAAGAAAGTATACTTTGCCGCTGTAAGTTAGTCTTTTGAATTAAGGACGTTTTACACCAAAATTCATGTTTTATTATTTAAATTATATATTAAAAGTATATTTATATTATAAATTTATTAAAATATTTTGAATAAAATAATATAAAAAATATTTTTCACTAAATTAAAAACTTTTCTAACTCTCCCACCATAATTGAGTGTCCTAACCTTTTTTTTCAATATCGAAATCTTTCTTTTTCTGTACATTCAATAGCGGACATCCTTGCCAGCAGTCATGCGCGCGGCACAGTTGACACCTTACTGGACTCGCCTCCATCGTCTTATTGCGTTTTCTTTTTAATTTTTCACTGCATCACGGCCAATATCATTACAGCACGTACGTAATCATATTTTGAACTAAAACATGTTCTGATGATTAAATTTCTACTTATTATATAATATATAATATACAGTGGTACTTACCATATAATATATAATAACAGTCAAATAGTAACCCTTAAGCAATTAACAGTCAAAGTTAATGAAAAAATAAGTGACATCTAATTAAGGGTGACATTGAAAAAAGTGTAGTAGAGAGATAACATTTAAGGTGTAAGGAAAGTGGACGAGACATTAAACATTTTCTTAGTAGAGAGATAATAATGAATATTTTTATAAAGTACAAAGATTACAGTTGGCTTTAACCCTTATTTTTATATTTGGTGATTCATTATTTTCTCTACTACCAAGAAATTTGCTAGTTTTGATCGCAGGCACCAAGGTTATTGTTTAAAAAGGAAGAAATATTTGAAAAAAAGTTTATTACTTTATTAAATAGTGCTATATGTACAATGATTTATATATTGGTGTCTACAAAACAAAAAAAATATTTTAAGGTATAAAATATTTATAATAAGTGTGAATATGATCTGAATTATTGCATTCATATCTTAACATCTCCTCTCAAATTCAAGGTGATTGTGATCAAAGCCAACTTAAGTTTGGAAAGAAGAGTACGAAAACGTCCAAGAAAATGAGTCTTGGGGAAAAGGTCTGGTGGTTGATCAATGGAGTTAATGAAAATCAAATGAATAGTTCCCTATGCAACATGATGCGAACAAAGTGACAGTCAACCTCAATCTGTTTAGTGCATTCATGGAAGACATCGCTATGAGCAATTTGCATGGCACTCTAATTGTCATAACAAAGATTAGTAATAGGCAGTTAAGAAATACCCATATCTTCTAATAGCCAATGTAAATTAAGTAACTCTGATGTGGTGGCTCCAAGTGCTTGATATTCAGCCTCTACGCTAGAACGTGACGGAACTGTCTACTTCTTGCTATGTTAAAAGACTAAAGAATCACCAAGAAAAAAAGCAATATCCAATGGTGGATTTACGATAATTAAAGTCTCCAACCTAACCAGCATTAGAGTAAGCACAGAGTTTAAAAGATGAATGAGCAAAAAAGTGAAATTCATGAAAAATGGTACTTGTAATATAGCGAATAATGCGAAGTACTGTTACATAATGAGTGGAGTGAGGTGTTACCATAAACTGACTAACAACATGAACTGCATAAGCTATATCTAGTTGTGTTCATATCTTAACAGTTATAAAGCCCTCTTTACCTTCAACAGTCTAACGCATAACAGCGAGTTGTAATCCTTCCACAAGCTAACTAGGAAACAGAGAGAAGGGCGGACTATTCCAGTCACCTGCAAGAAACGTAAGTCACATGTTTGATGTTTCTGCTTTTGCTTTATATTTTATTTTATTTTGTTTGAGATAAGGCAATTGCTATTGCTCCAGATTTTTCATCTCCTTTTCCCAGAGAATATATGTTCGGGTAAAGGGCGATCACTTTTTTTTTGCTTATCATACACAGCCCACAGTTCCACATCCCCACGGACCCAACCTCACCCGATGAATGTAGCGCGAAATTGTGTACGTGAATTTTAATCTAATATAAGGTTTATATTTAACTTAGAATATTTTTATTTGTATTTTATAATTAAATTTTATTAAGAGTATGAATATTAATTTTAATTTAATTAATTAATCAATAGAAAACATATATGTACCAATAGAATTAAAATATATGTTAATTTTTATAATTTTTTATATAAATTAAATATAA